AGCCCAGCTGTTGATGTAGTTGAGCACTGGATGTAGGCCTGGCAGATACTTTCAGGGTCTCAATGTGAACTTTTCCAGTTTTAAGAGGGATGTTACTAAGAGACCCTTGAAGCCAGCTCATACATCTGGCACAGAAGGCATACTTATCAAATAATTGTTGCCTGTTGTGTCAGGCACTGTTGTTGACATTGCGGATTCAATTATGAGCTAGATAAACATAGTTCCTACTTTCAGTCTAACCTTCTTATCGACTCAGAGTAACACGTCTGGCTGGAGTCAAATATATTAACTTTTATTATCTTGACATTGGATTGTGTTGACTGCTTTTGTTTTTTGTTTGTTTTGAACTATTGGAGAGAATGGGGCCAAGTTTAACAGAAACTGGGTGCCGAAGATCCCAGATTTTAATATTTTTAGGAATATTTTTTTCCTAAAAGATTCCTTTAGGAATCTTTTGATAGCCTGGAAACTATCCATATTGCCTCCTACATGACCTTGGGGTCAGTTCAAACTGTTGTCTTCTCTTTATTAAGGAGTTAAAGATTAATCAAACCTGCCCTGGGTCAGAGATCAGTCCCTCCTCCAGCATTTTAAGATTTCATATTTTGTGGTATCCCTACCCCTAGTGTTGCTTCCTTTCCCAGGAAGATAATTACTGTTCCATTCTTCCTGGTTTTCCATTATTTCTCAACCTGAGCCATCTGTCAAATGAATCCTTTTGCCTTAATTTGACCTTTTGCAACTTCCATATCAGAGCCTAGAGACAAGCACTTTCTGAATTTCAGTCTGGTCCAATAGACAGTTTAATGGAGTCAGAAAAGTGAGAGACCAAATGATCTATTAAATTAAATGTATCTATATCAACTGTTCCCTAGGGCAGTGTTCAGTTTGATTCAGAATGACTTCATTTCCCTCGGGGAGGGGATGGAGAGGGAGGGCATTTCCATTAATGACTTCTTATTCCACAGAACAAAGCTCTCTAATGAAAATCAGCTGATCAGCTTTCTCTGCTGGCATCCTGGCTCAGGCAGGGACTTGCCATGTATTTGGTCTTTTCTTAATATGGAGGGTAGAGAAGGGAAAGAGGTTTCACAAAATGTCAGAACTCAGTCAAGGCTTTTCTTAAGCCCTTAAATCTGCTTTTATTTGTTGTTCTAGTAAGTAGTGGCTCTGAGTGTCAGACAGGATTTTGTCTGTTCTCTGTGACTGTCCATGGTTCTTGCCAGAAGATCTAATGGAGGAGTGGAGAGTGGGACTGATGTAAGAGAGTAGGAAGTGAAGGGTCCCTGGTATTCTAGAGAATATCCCCCCTTACCACTTCCCAGTAGGACTCAAGTTTTCGGTAAAACACTGTCCCTTTATAATCGAAACATCTTTTTGTGGAATCTGCTTGACTCTTAATCTTATCTAGGTAGAAGCTCTTTGGGAGCTGAGGTGGAGGCATCTTCTCATCTTGATTTTTTTGCCTTTTTTCCTCTGATTTTTCTCTGAAGCATTCCTAATTTAGTCAGTTTTACATTCAGAGTGTGGACATACGTGTGTTGGGGCAGTCATGTGTGGAAAGTGGAACCTGAAGACTACTTTTGCCCTAGGGAATTTTTTAGTGATTTAGAGTACAGTATGTTAATATCCCTAGGGCACAAGAGAGTCTCAATCCAGTGTTTTTTAAGTTGTGGTTTTTGACTCAACAGATAGAAAATCAGTTTAGTAGCTTGCTCCCAATAAAAAAGGAAATTTAAATACAATACAACATACAGAATATAGCACACATAGTAATGATAAATATTGCTTATTGTTTGGTGAACTTTTATGTATGATATGTAACACACACAGGGTGCTCATTAAAAGATATTTCTTAATCGGGATCACAGTCAGAACAAAATTGAGAAACAGTGTTCTAGATCCCAAAGAGTATTTTTTAAAAAAATTCTAGTCCTCTGATGGACAGATGTTTCTTCTCAAAGGGGATTCTGTGGTTGACTCTGTCTGGAAAATCATGTGTATTATATCCCCATTTTGAAGATTAATAGTGTGGATTAATCTTGAGAAGTCTTGTAGTTAAGTGTTTGCCAAATTTATTTGACCACAGGACTTTTTTTCCCTCCCATGTAATGCCTTTTAACATTCTGAGGAACTAGTTTTTGGAGAAACACACTTTGGGAAACATTGATCTAGTTTCGTTGTAACGAGGGGAAGTTTTATCTATTCAGTCTGGAAGTTCTTGTCTGTGAGGGTCTGGGGATGGAATCCTTTTCTGTCATTCGGGTAAGTGGGTGGTAGGTACTATATTGTGGGTTTTAAGAAAGGTGAAGTTCAGGAATAAGGGCATAAGTGTTTTTCTCTAGAATCAGGCTGAGGGGAGTTGCCTGTTCTTAGGTGGTGTTTCTTTGTGAGAAAGGAGCTGTGAGAGTGCTCACACCCAGGACCATGATTACTAACTTTTTTCTTTCTTTTCTTTTCTTCTACAGATGTGGGACCTAGGAAAAGGCCTGACAGTTTCCCAGCTATACCAGTCTGGAGTGGTTGTCTTGGTTCTTACTGTGTTGTCCTCTGTAGGGCTGGCAGCCATGTAAAGAGCTGAAGTCCCCAGCATCATCTTCCTACAAATTACTACATTGACCTATTTTTTTGTCACTCTTACTTCCAGCCAGAGCAAAGTTCTGATTTGTTTAGACCCTTTTGTGCTTGCTTGCAGATCCCCTTGAGCTCAGCATTAGAGTACCTTATAGAACCATAGTAGTGGAAAAGCATCCAATTTTCCCCTTATTTCTAAAGATGGAATGACTGCAAAAACTCCCTTTTCCTGCCCCCAGCTCGCAGCCTACTTTGGGCCTGGGAGCCCTCATTCTCTCTCCATATGTTGGGCCTTGATTTGTGCTGAGGGTCAGCTTTTGGCTCCTTCTTCCTGAGACAGTGGAAACAATGCCAGCTCTGTGGCCTCTGCCATGGGGACTGGGAGTGGGGCTTTGGGTGCCACTGCCTGTGGGTTGCTGGCTTAAAGGACAGTTCTGTTCATTGGTCAGAACCCAGGGTCTTTAGCACCCACACAGTGTGACTGAAAGAAGGGTGGGGGTGGGGTGGAGGGGAATTAGCCTGTCCCAGCTTGAGGGAGATAAAAAGGGTAAGTTGGCTGTTGGAGCAGGTGCTTTGGGGAGAAGATGTATAGCTTTTGATGTAAGAGGACGATCCAGAAAATTATCATTTAAGCTATTAAAGGTTATTTCTCTTCCTTGCATTTCCAGAAAAACCAAGCCTCTAATTGTCATTTTTTTAATCCAAATTTATGTGACAGCTTTTATGAAACTGAATAAAAGTAATCATATGTCTTTGATTCCCCTTAAAATCTTGAGAAACCAAGAGAATGGTGACTGGGAAGGAGCCAATATCCTCCCCCTCCCTTTAGTCTCAGGCATTTACATCCTCCAGCCTGACCTTTCCCAGGAGGGAAACAGTTTTTCCTACAAGGGACCACTGAGAAAATTTTCAGGGAATCAAATACAGGTAGCCAGGGGTTTAATATCATGGCGTCTCAGAAAAGGAGGGGGCAAGAGAAAAATTAAGCAGATAGAGAGCTTGTAGGTTATTGCAGGCTCCAAAATCCCACTGAGAACTCATTATTAAGCCTCAGCAAATTATGATCCAGTGGACCAATAGAGCTGACAGGCAAGGGACTGTGAGCTAAGTCTGTAGATACGGGGAGAGAGAAGAGTAGAGATAAGAAGAGATTGTTGAAAACCTGGCAAACATTTATAATTTAATGAGAAAACTTGCTACTTTCATAATTCATATATGCCAGGCTTTTGGGTCCCTGACTCCGTTGGCAAGAATGCTGTTTTAATAGTCTTTGGAAACTCTGGGATGACAGATCTATCTTGCCTGTCACTCTTGAGTTGTTAGCCAACCAATTAAATTAGCTATGGGTTTGAGAGAAGAAAGTGACTGTAATTGGTGTCATTTAGAGAGGAAGACCTTACTTTAGCTGCCTCAACAGTCTTTATCCCAGCTCCCAAGTAGTCTTTGGCTTTAAGTGATGATCACTTCTTTCCTTTTTGCTAGACTGGCTCTGGGAAGTCTTTGTAGCCTTCCTCTAGCTTACACCGTATGTCTTCTGTACTTGTCCTTATAGTGAGGGACGTGTTCATGAGGGAACAATTGGGCATTGGGACTGGGAAAGGTTTGGCAAGGGCATTAAATTTAACAGCTAGTGCCAGAAAGATGCAGAATGGAAATAATGATAAACAGAAATTGGGAGCTGGGAAATGGATAGGGAACTTTTTTGGTGTCTTTTTATAATTTGGGTTAGAGTGGTCAGGGGAGTGGCAGAGTGGTCATCATGTTTGCTATTCTGCTCTTTCTACTTACCATATCCCTTTGTTTTTCTTCTCTCTCTCTTTTTTCTTCTCCATCTTCCAATCACTTCTATATCTTCTGTTTTGAAGTTATATTTGTTCTTTTTTTTGAGTTTTGCTTTTGTAACTCTAATCTGTTTTCCCTGTATGTTCTTTCATCAGATATGAAGTCTTAGACAAGGATCGTGTCTTCTCTGGCTTCCTATACCTTTTCTTCCCCACCTTCTCCGATTACACATACATATGCTCTACCAAATGATTGTACTTCTGACTTAATAGTTCATGCTTAGGATGAAAAGTGAAGGGTTAGGTGTGAGGGACTGGTTATTTGAGGTTTCTTTTGCTGTGATTCAGACCAACCTCCTTTTGGTCATTTCTGGAGTATAACTAACTCAGTCCTTGTAAAAATGTGTTCCACCTCAAGCCACTGTCTTGTCCTTTTCCCTGCTCTGTTTCCCCCAATCCTTCTCCTAGTTTTGGGTTACAAAAGGCAGCTACAGCAGGACGATAAAGTCCAAATCAGTAAAAGATTCAACAAATGATGTTTATTTTTTCTGAATTTGCCTTTATTCCCACCCATAATTTTCGACTGAGGGTCTTGCTTACTTCACTCAGCCTCTAGACAGGTTTTCTCAGTGTGGTCCCAGTCCTTTATGAAGTTCCAGGTTTGCATTTCTGGACCTCGGCTAGATTAGGACCTGCACAGTGTTCTAGCGTGCATGGGCTTCCAGGTGGGCTCTTAGGAGAGCTAGCTGGGGTCTGGGGACCTGGAGTGTGACCTGCCGAGGGATGTGAGCTTTGGAGTTGATCTAGGGTATTGAGACTTGAGGCTGGGGAGTTTGGGATTATGGTTGGACTTGTTGCTTGTTGTACAGTCTTTGTGATCGACTTCCTGAGTTTCTTCTGACTGTCTGAATCATGCGGCTGTCAGGGATGGAATAGAAGAGACAATTGTTTCTGGTTAGGCCTAGACCATTCCCCGTCCATCTCAAAATTCTGAATCCCTTTTTCTCTGTATATACCATGGACCAAAGGTCAGGTTTCAAATAAGTTAAATATGATACCACTAACATCTCCTTGAGATTAGATCATTTTGTACTGTGTGGGGTTAGGGGGTGAGGGTGGGAATAAGATCCTTAGCTTATCCCTTCCGGCCTCAGAACTTGATTAAGGACAGACAGGATAAGACAGAATTGGTCAGAGGTTCCCCCTGCTGGGGTTGTGGTGATATAACAATAGGCATTTTTGAGGTTGCAAAGAAACAAAGACAATAGGATTTGAGGTTAGGTGGGAAAAATAGATACCTTGCCTAAGATTTCAGGACACAGCCCATTGGAGGCCTTCAGTAAATCAGGATTTTTCTGTATCCATTTGGTGAGGGAGGCAGCACCAGCAGCTGTACGGGAGGTCAGGGTCACCCGAGCAGGGGGTATCTTCAGAGGCATTTGCCATGTGCCCATGAAGGATCCCCAAGGATTTGCCTAAAAGAAAAAAGGTGGGGTTCCTCAATATGGTTTCTCACTCCCAGTAACTGACCTATTGACAAGGCCTCTGTCCTAATTCCGTCTTTTACCTTTGGGAACGCATGGTAGTGAAACAAGACTGAATAATCTCTCTACTCTTCCTGCCTGCTCCCCCATTTAGGTTTCCCTAATTTTTTCATTCCTTTACCTCTGCTGGCTTAAATTCTGCATCCTTAGGCTAAGTTGGCAGAATACCCACTACATAAATATTACCTGAATGTGTTTGTTTATACAGATCATTCATCAATTTAAGGAATTCTTTAAATACAATCCTGTCCTGTTGGATAAACTGGCTGGAAGTTTGAGGGCACTTGTATTACAATGTGAATTAGATTGAACTTTTTTTTTTTTAACAATTTTTTACTGAGTTATAGTCATTTTACAATGTTGTGTCAAATTCCAGTGTAGAGCACAATTTTTCAGTTATACATGAACATACAAGATTGAACTTTAATTTTCCGAATAGTGGCTGTAGGAGATTGCAAGTTTCCCTGTAGTACTCCCATTTCTATGCCTCAGTTCTTTACTGTTCTTGATAAGAATGGAGATGAGTATCTCACCTTGGAACGGGGCACTGAAGGCAACAGATGTCCACGTTCATTGGCGATAATCTGAGTGTAGCCTTCATGGGAAGATATCCTCTGGGGTAGAGGTGGGAAGGGCAGTGCTTGTGAAAATGGAGTGAAAAAGTGGGAGAAGGGAGGGGGTATAGCTTAGTGGTAGAGTGTGCAGTTAGCATGCAAAAAGTCCTGGGTTCAATCCCCAGTACCTCCGTTAAAATAGATAAACCTAATTACCTCCCCATCTAAATTAATTAATTAAACAAAAGATCTCAATATCCTTTTTAAAAAGAGGGGGAAGGGTATAGCTCCATTGGTGGAGTACATGCTTAGTATGCATGAGGTCCTGGATTCAATCCCCAGTATTCATATAAATAAACCTAATTACCCACCGACCCCCCCAAATTTTTTTTAAAGTAGAGGAAGTATCTGAAGGGCTTGAATTACGGGCTGAGGGAGAGGAGGGTATGGGAGTTTAAAGACGGCTGAAAGACGTTAGGTGTCAGTGAATTACACAGAGTACGGCATAAAGAACCAGAAACTGGCCTTGTGGGTGCACTGAACATGGAATACCTCTTTTGTTGGCTTGGCGAGAGACCAGTTCTGCAGATACTTGGGTGAGAAAGCTTTTTCATACTGTGGAAAGAGATGAGAATCCTTATGAGGCTCAAAGTCCCCAAGCCCAGAAAGTAAATAGGCACTGTTCTTCAGAGTTGAAGACCAAAGGCATGAATGACCATGCTAGACTTTAACTCACTATAGAGTCACTCACTTTAACTCAGTGTAACTCACCATTTGTTTCATCTGTATGCTGTCCAACATGGCGCCACTAGCCACACATAGCTATTGAGCACTTGAAATGTGACTAGTCCATATTGAGGTGCTTTGTAAGTACAGTTGGCCCTTGAGCAATATGGGTTTGAACTGTGTGGGTTCACTTGCAGCTTTTTTTTTCAATATGTACTACAGTACCACATGATCTATGGTTGATTGACTCTGTGGATGTGGAATCCTGGATACAGAGGGCCTACTGTAAAGTTATATGCAGATTTTCAACTGCCCTAATCCCTACCTTGTTCAAAAGTCAACTATATAAAATACACTGGATTTTGAAGACTTAGTGCAAAAAAAACAAGAATATAAACATCTGATTATAACTTAAAATGTTGATTAACTGTTGGAATTAATTTTGGATTTACTGGGCTAAATTAATTATTTAAATGACGATTTCTTTTTAATTTTTTTCATGTAGCTACTAGAATATTTAAATTACATCTGTGACTCATTATCTTTTTTTTTGCAGTGCTGATGTAGACCAGGGGTCAGCAAACTGTGGCCCATTGGCCAAGTCCATCCTCCTGTCTGTTTTGTGATGGCCTGTGAAAGCTATGATTTGTTTTTATAGATGAACATTTGCAGTTGATTTGATTAAGGGGAATGCTAACTTTGTATCCAAGTTAAGCAAAATATTTTCTTGTCCTACAAGAATTCCATTCTTTTCATTAATATTAAAAAAATGCACTCAGTTATTACATTTTGAATTTCATCAAAAATTTTATGGAAAAGTGTTTTCTCTCATACCTATGTAATACCGCTCTGATTTTGTCACTTGACCCACAAAGCCTTAAATATTTACGCTCTGACCCTTTTCAGAAAAAAATTTGCTGACCTCTGGGTTACACCCTACAAACTTGGCCCAGAATACCTATTATTTGTCCCTGGGCCCTCCCTAGCCTGAGTAGCTGAGGAGGTGAAAATACTGTCTCACCTCACTCTCAGCTATCTATTCAGTAATCAGAATCATATAGGAGGGGGTCAGTCCGAAAGTGGAATATGGAAGACAAAATTAAAAGTCAAAGAGAAGGAAAAAGAGTACTTACCTGGTTGGCACTGTAGTTAGTGGCCATGATCCTGCCACTTCCTGCTGTTTACCTTTGTTGCTTGGTAACCTCAGAAGGCTGACCTTCTGGGACTACCTCCCAATTAACAGGGAGGGGCTGCCTTTCCCTTCTTGTTACTCACTTTCTTGGCTGACACTGCCTTTGATCTTTTCCTTTGAAACCTGGGTTCATTTTCATTTTAGAGACGTGAGGAACAGAGTAAATAAACATGAGAAAATTAGCTGAATAGTGGCTCTGACTTTTTCCTAGCATAACTTACCCTGCTTAAGAATTTATAGGTTGTCTTTGCCTGGGGTCTTTAACCATGGTAACAAACTATGGAACGCCAAGAGCTCTGTTCATTGGAGAGTGTGGTCTAAGTACCACAGACTTCAGAGCCAGACACTGGGATTTGAGTCCTTACTCGACATAGGAACATAAGAGCTGTATGACAGTAAGCAGTTGGTGTCCCTTCACTGAGTTTCTGTAGTCATTTGTATCGTGGAGATAGTAGAACCTTTACAGGATAAATTAGGTAAAGTGAATAAAGTGTTTAGATAATGTCATAGCATGGTAGGGACTCAATACTGCTGAGACCCTGTTTACAGGGTCCACTACATTTTCTCAGAATAACAAAGCAATGATGTTTTAAATAGCCACTAACTCAGATTTGTCCCCCCAAAGAAAAACATATCCTTGGTCATTAAATGACTCCTGGCTTTTCTGAGGTGGAATGAATTGCTGGTGATGCAGGATTGAGCAGGCATGATGACAGAAAGACATAGTGTGGAAGGCACCAGATTTGGAGAATGAAGTGGTGGTGGCGGGACACATACCTAAGATTTGGACAACCTCTTTGAGACTTATCTAAAATGGCATTAGCATACCTATCTACTGGGTTGTCAGAATTAGGGAGAAAATGGAACTGTGCTTCCTGAATTACAAAATCTGTCCAAAGAAATAGATAATTGAGAACCAGGAGAGCATTGTAAGGGATGATTATCAGTCCCTTGTCCCTTAGAAGATATATCTTTTTAAAAAGGTGGGTGGCAGAGAGGAGGAACCAAATGAAATAGATCACATGATGAGAGACTTAAATATATAAAAATATATAACATAAAACAGATCTAAGATTAAATATATTTATTACATAAATGGGTTTATCAAATCTGTTAAAAAGAAATGATTTTCATATTGACTAAAAAAGTAAATTTCAACACTATGCTTATAAAAGAAACATCTAAAATGAAGAGATTCAGGAAGGCTAAAAATAAACGACTTAACAAATATGTACCAGATTTTTTTTCTTTAAGCAGGGGTTGCAATTTTAATTAGCCAAGAAAGTAGAATTCTGACTTAAGAGGTTTAGAAGAGATAAGTTTTTAGCACAATTTAAAAAAGAGAAAGAATTACATTTAATAACGGAGAAAAATAGAAGCACACTGATAATAGGAGACTTTAACCAATCTCTCAGATCTAGAAAGATGAAGTGAATAAGAAGTTAGCCCAGGTACAGACAACCTAAACAACATAATAAATAGGAAAGATTTAATATATATTAAACTCTGAACCTTGATAATAGAGAATATGCTTCTTTTTCCAAATGCATATGAAAGATTCACAAAAATCACAAAAATGTGGCACACTCACATCTTAGGACACAGGAAAATCTCAAATTCAAATTTCCAAATGAAAAATTTAAAAATATGTTGTTAACCACATCTGGGCCAAAGGAGAAATGTAAAACAAATTGATAATAGTAATAATGAAAACCAGAATCTATGGGAAATAGTTAAAACATCTATCAGAGAAACATTTATAATATTAAATACCTATATGTATAAAAATTAAAAAGTAAAAATGAATGAACTTTATGACTCAAAAGACTAGGGGAAAAAAGTAAACCAAATTAGAAGGAAGAAATTAGTAAAAAGAAAGGCAGAAATAATGGGTTTGAAAACAACAAAAAGTAATACTAAAATCAAAAACTGTTTGAAAAAATTAAATTGGTAAATTCTTAGCTAAACTACTCAAGAAAAGAAGACAGCACAAATACATGTAATTAGGAAGAGACAAAGAAGAGGAAATTTAAAAAACACTCTGTAAATATGTTTGAAAATCTACATTTAATGTATAATTTTGTGTAAAAGCACAATTTAACAGAATTGACCCTTGTGGAGACAGAGTCTAAACAAACCATTTAAACATAAAAGAAACTAGAAAACTAGAGTTCCCCCACAAAACCAAACAGGCCCAGATAGTTAAAGTATTTTACAGCATAGCAAAAGAAGAAAAATTCCCAAATTCATTTTATGAAGTAAGAATAACATTGACTCCCAAACCTGAATTTTGGAACCATGACAGAGTCTAAACAAAAACACTGCAGATCAATTTCACTTATTAATATTGATGCAGAAATCTTATATAAAACATTAGTAAGCAGAATCCAATAGTACATTAAAAAAATCGTATTAAGACCAAGTGGAAAGTACTCCATGGATGCAGAAATGGATAGTCAAATTAGGAAATCCATTAATATAGTTCATTATATCAAGGTGAAAAAAAAATGTGTGTTTATCTCCACAGATACATTGGTAAGTTTTAATACATAACAATAACAACAACAACAAAAAGTAAAAAGACAACTGGGACAAGTAAGTTATAAATAATATTATAAAGAGTTAATATCTTTGATTTTTAAAGAAGTTCAAAAAATACAGAAGACTAATAACCCTATAGAAAACTCGGTTAGAGATACATAATCAGGCATATCACAGGGAAAGAAATACAAATTACTGTTAACCATATGAAAAGATGTTCAACATTGCTCATAATTTTTAAAAATGGAAATTAAAACTACACAGAGATACTATTTCTTACCCATAAGACTGCAAAAATCCAAAACTTTGATAACATACTCTGTTGGTCAGCCTATGAGGAAACAAGCATTCTAATATGTTGGGTGTGGAAATGTAAAATGTCACAACCCTCGCGGTGGAGAATTTGACAGTATCTAGCTAGCACAATTATCAGTGCCTTTTCCATTTATTTATTCAATGGAGGTACTGGGGATGGAACCCAGGATCTTGTGCATGCTAAGCATACACTCCACCACTGAGCTATACCTACCCCAGTATCATGCCTTTTGATTAAGTAATCCTACTTCTAGCAATCTATCCCAAAAATACTCTGGCAAAAATAAGAAGTGTGCACTATTAAATGCAGCATTATTTGTAATAGCTACAGAATGGAAACAACCCACATATCTGTCAGTAGAATACTATGATACTGCCACACAATGTAATATTATGCAGCTGTAAAAAGCAACAAGGAAGATGCTGCTATGGAGTGATCACCAAGAAATACTTTTAAGTGAATAAAGCATGGTGTAGGACATGTGAATAGTGTGCTATTGTTTACGTAAAAAAGTAGATATAAATATGTTTCTAATAGAAAAATGATGGAAAAATAAATGGTATAATTAGTGATTACCTTTAGGGAGATAGAAGAGATAAGGTGGAGAGGACAGGAGTAGAAGATAAACTGAATATACCCTGTTTTGCAAAATTGACTTTAGAACTGTATAAATATTTTACAAAATTATAAAAATTAAGTTAAAAACAAAAGTAATTCCTAAAGTAAGAAAACAAATTCTCATTATTTTCAAAACAAAGAAGTTTTTTTTCTTTTAAAGAGTTAGTTAGCTAAATACAAAAGCTGTATATAAACGAGTTAATGTTTCTGCTTCCTCTGAACATGACAAATTTCATATCCAGTTTTCTTTCTTAAGACTAAGTCTCCCTCTAGTGGACATTAGTTTTACAACAAGTCCCCCATTCCCTACACTGCCCATTGTCTCCTGTTGCCAAATCCTTAAATTACATAAGTATCAGAGTCATGAGAAGGAGGGTGATGGAAGATATTAAGCAATGGGATAGCCAAGTGTCAGGGACACAGCCAAGTTTAAAAGGAAGTGGGGAGATGAGAGACATGAGAGGCTCTAAGAGCCAAGAAAATTTTGGTCACTCAGCTCAGAGTGGGGAAGGAACTTCAGCTTCCTACTGGAGGATTGCCACCACCTCTGCCCAGCAAGAGGTGATTAATATACCAGTGTCACTGTGTACTCAGTGAAATAGCTCCCCCCAAGGCGTTGCTTTAGGAAGAAACCCGAGTGAGAAATAGTGATGAGTAGGAGATGAAGAGTGATTCTCCTGAGCCAGATAAGGTGTGACAGGGTGAACTCCAGGCATCTCCCACCCCTCAGGGCTCCCCCAGAGTCCCACAGACCATTGAGGTCAGATGCGTGAAAGCTTTGCGTCCTCAGATACTGACGGTGGGGAAAGGTACTGGCACAGTCTCTTCATTTCCTGGCAGGGAGAGGAGAGTCAGAGATGAGTCCACACTGAAAAGTGGCCTCTAAGGGTATGATGGGAGGGTCTTTGTGTGCTGGGCTACCCTGGGTCTCATCTGACCTCACATAGTGGAAACTACTCAGAGGAAACTCATTTAGAGTAGATCCTCTCCTAACGTCTACTCCAGTTTCTAAAAGTTTATCACTCCTTCCCACGCCCTGTCACACTGTGGTCTCTCCCTCATAGAGAACAGTTGAGGGTTGCCACCTCAGCATACATCTCCAATCTCCTTTACAGTTTTAAATAAGAATACAAAAAGAAAAGAACACCAAAAACAGTCTAGTTTCCTAAGTTCATTTTCTGGTCCTATAAAAAATCGAACTCCTTAATTCAGGTCTGGGGGCCTGCCCATCTACATATCTAGCTTGAGAATACTGTCCAGGAAATTACTCATTCGAAGAATTATTTCAGCCAATTCCCACACCTTTCTTTGTTCTTTCTTCACTTCCTCCCTTTAAAAGGTGAATTTCCAGACACACTGAAATCCCGGAGGGAAAAAATTGGCCTAACTAAGAGTGGTGACCCTTCCTGTGTGCAAAATACAAGAAACATGTTGCTAAAGGCCATAGTTCTTAATGTAACAAAAAGTAATGTGAACCTTATACAATGAAATACTTTCAGCCTTATAAAAGCATGAAATTCTGACATGTGCTACATTGTGACATATGACACATTGTATGAAACTTGAAGACCGTTATGTTAAATGAAATAGGCCTGTCATAAAGAGACAAATAATGAATGATTCCAATTATATGAGGTACTTAGAGTAGTCAGACATCAAAGAGGCAGAAAGTAGAATGATGGTTGCCATTCTACCGGGGAAGAGGGGGAATGAGGAGTTATTGTTTAATAAGTACAGAGTTTCAGTTTCACAAGATGAAAAGAATTCCGGAAATGGATAATGGTGATGGTTGCACAACAGTATGAATGTACTTAATACACTGAATTGTGCACTTAAAAAGGGTTAAGTAACTTTTATGTCATGTGTGTTTTACCACAATAAGAAAAAAAATGAAGAAAAATAAAGTAACGTGTAATATGAACCTTACTGAAGACTGCCAAGAAGTAATGGAACTGTGTACTGATGAATGATGCTAGGGTAAGTTCTCATATTTCATTTTAACAAGCACCAGGGGGAACACCTCTTTCTGGAGCTCTCTGTCTCTCCTTTTTACATGCATAAGCCACTCAACCGTCATTCATACCTCTTCTCTGAGAACACATTGCCTTAAATCACTCTCAGATTTTACCTTCAGAGGAATGATCCTGGAAGCTATCACACAAACATATTTCCATTTTTGTCTCATTGGCCTGAACTGAGTCACTGGCCGACCTAGCTGAAAACATAGCAGGCTATGAAATACATAATTTTTATTTTAAGAGGCTATATGCCCAACTGAAAATTACATTACTGTAGGAATTGGAGGAGAAATTATGTCAGGGAACTCTTTCTGGCACTAAATAATCTTAAGTACTTGCTATGTATCCTTCCAGTATGTTTTCTTGTACTATACACATTACTCTGCAACTTGCCTTTTTCATTTAATATATCATTCAGGTATCAGAGACCCCACAAATATGTAGCCAGTCCCACATTCTGGACATAGGGTGCTGCTATTAGAGTCACCCTGACTACCACCTCTAGAAACTGGCTGAAGCTGTTGCCCCTGTTGCCATGCCCCTCACTGGGCTGCACTCACTGCCTTCCCTGCTTCTTCCCCTCACTTGTTTCCAATTCAAGACTGGTGCATCTGATCTGCAGATTTTCCAGCTGTAATGGAGGCTAGAAAAGTGAATAGCTGGCATTTTATGGTGGGAGGAAGGGTTTCTTTTAAGGCAGAGGCAGTGGTGGTTGAATAGGGATTCCTTAAACAGAGGAAGTAGGTTCAGAGGCTCAATAGCCAAAAGGAAACACAAATACTGGAGAAAACAGAACCACAAAGTATGTATAAATTTATCTCATTCTTTTAAATAGCTGCCTAACATCCTGTAGTGGAGACATTTATTCAGCCATTGTCCTGTTGATGGGCATTCAAAATATTTCCACTTTTTTGCTACCACAATATTATAACAGACATCTTTGTACATTTTATACATTTGGCCTTCTGTCTGATTTTTTTTTTTCAGTATGCTTAAAAGTGGAGTTGCTGGATAAAAGTGAACATGTATTTTTATCTTTAGTATATATTGCCTGGTTACTTTTTAAAATATATAGTAATTTATATTCCCACCAGCAAGATACAAAAGTGCCATTTTCTCCTATCCTTTTAGTCCCTGAATACTATTACTGTTTTTTCTTTTTATCAATCTGATGAGTGAAAATGATATATTATTATTATTTTAATTTTTGGTTTCTTGACTACCAACATCTTTTCATATGTTTATTGGCTACAGTGAATTCCTTTTTTTAATTAATTGCCTATTCATATCTTTGGCTCACTTTTCTGTTGGTGTATTTCTTTTTCTTATCAATTTGTAGGCACTCTTTGTGTATTAGAGATACTTTATCAGCCATATGTGTTGGAATTATTTCTCAGAGCATGTTTCTAGTTTTTCTACTTTATTTATGGTATCTTTTAAAAGATAGTTAAATATGTCTTTTCCTTTATGGCTTCTCCATTTGTTTTGTCATTCTTGCTTAAGAAAATTTCATCGTACATTTCTGTTGTGATTGGTTACAACGAGCACACATTTCTTTTGTAATAAAAATATTTTTTAAAAAAGAAAAAAAGCTTAAAACCTTGAAAGAGTAGCCTGAAGACTTATTCTTAGGTACAGTTCTATTACCAACTAGGTATGACCTTGGACAAGTCACCAAGCCTTTCAGTATTTCATTGTCTTAATTTTACAAATGAAGGATAATAACATCTATTCTGTTACTTCACTGGGTTTTGCAAAGATAAAATCAGATTTTTTAAAAGTATAAATATGGGTTACAAAAACATAAGGTATTATTATTATTATTATTATTATTATTATTATTATTATTATTATTATTATTATTATTATTATTATATGCTTTCCCTCTTCACTTGAAAGGTAATGTGATAAGTAAAGATATCACTAGATTAGGAAGTCATGTTCCATCTACTCCAATTACTAACCAGTATGCCTTTGAGCAATTTGTTTAGCTTCTATGAAACTCAGTTTCCTCATCCTTAAAATAAAAGAGTTAGTCTCTAAGTTACTTTTTAGCTTTAAGGATCTAAAAATATTATAGCAAAATCTCTAACAAGAAAGTTAGGTAAATTTTTTTTTGGTTAATATTAAAGGAATCTTTAGGATTCGGTGTTTAAATATGTAACTTGAAGATACATAAATGGAGAATGTACTGGAAGATGACAACTGTAGATGCACAGAAACTCATAAGGAGTCTTCTGCAGTTGTTTAGGTGAGGGGTGATGGTAGACTGAACCAAGGTAAGAGCAAAGGAAATGGAGAGCAAGTCAGCTGGGCATAAAGTCTCAATTGATCATTTGGCCCACCTTGAGTGTTAAGTCACAGCAAGCACTCAGATGATGGATAGATACAAGTCCAAAACTTGAGTAGCAAAATCAAACTTAATCTTCCTATAGCCCACCTCAATTCAAATTTCTTCTCTAATTTTATGTCTTAAGACTAAGACTCTTCCTAGTACAGACCAGCTGGAGTGAACGGGATCCGGCTGGAACACGCACACAACTGTGAGGTGTTCAGGTCTACAGGATCGCCGCTCCCCTCGAGCAAGGACAAGACCTAGTCATTTCCACATCCTGGGGCCGAACTGGGGACGCCAAAAGGAGGCTGCCTGCTTTGTGCTCCACTTCCCTCCCACCGAAGTGTGGCCAGAACCGTGTCGTGTTGCTCTCACTGTCGGGAACCGATCAACCCTTCCCCGCCTTCCGGTCCTGACTCAGGCCTGACTTGCGGGAAGCCTCTTGATCTTAGCGGGCCCAGACGGGAACGGGGACTGGGCTGTCCGCGGGCTTGACGGCTTGGGGAGGCAGGGTCAGGAAAAGGCGCTGGGCGGTGGCGGGGCGGGGCACCGGCTTGACGGCGGGCGGGGTTCAGGGGCCCAACGGGCCTCCTCAGACTTCCGGGAAACCCTGGCCAGCCCCTTCTCCAGGCCTCAGGCTTCCGGCCTTGGATTTGGATTCTGGGCTTGTACCGTTAGGCCCACAACATTGGCCTACGTGCAGGGTTCGTGTCCCGGAACGGGCTCTCCTCCGTCAGCGAGCCTGGCCCAGGGCCCCGAATCCCAGGTCTGTCTGGGATCCCTGGGCATCTCAGTGTGACTCGCGCGCTGCCCAGCTGCTGGCCCTCGGAGCTTGCGGAAAAAGAGGAAGGGAGGGTCAGCTGCAGCCTGGACGCCCCCAAGAGTAAGAAGGCGAAATCGTCATGTGACGAATTAATTTTGGAGAAACGCACGTTTTTCTCATTTCCTTAAAGTCCGTATCTTCCTTGTCTTCGGGATGAAAATCTGTAATCTTGCCTTTACCTAACTGGACTGCTCTTTTCTCCTGATGTTGAATGTCTTTACCGTGCTTGAAGTCTTCTGCCGCTTCCAGGTTGTGTTGCACTGACATTTTCACTTAAAGTTAGCTCACATACCTCTATTTCTATTTAGTCTTGATGACATTTTTTTAATCTTAAAAACATTTGGAAAAAAACCATTTGATAGTTTTTGAATAGGTAATATACAAAAGTAATAAAAATAAATTGACACAATAATTAGGTTGTTAATACAAAGAACAGGTGGTTGCCAGAGGGGAGGGGGTGGGAGGAGGAGAGAAATAGGTGAGGGAGGTTAAAAGATACAAATTTCCAGTTACAAAGGAAATTAGTCAGAGGTATGAAATATACAGTGTGGGGAATATAATCTATAATAATGCAGTATCTTCGTATGGTTACGGATGGTAAATAGACTTATCCTGGTGATCATTTTGAAATGTATAGAACTGTTGAGTCACCATGTTGTGCATCTGGAACTAACATAGTGTTGTAGGTCAATTATACTTCAAAAACACACTCACAGAAAGGGGAGGCTATAGCTCAGTGGTAGAGTGCATGCTTAGCATGCATGAGGTCCTGGGTTCAATCCCTGGTACCTCCATTAAAATAAATAAATAAACCTAATTGCCTCCCCCTCAAAAAAAAAAACTTCATAGAAAAAGGTTAGATTTGTGGTTACCAGAGGTAGGGGCTGGGAAGAGGGAAAACTGGGTAAGGGTAGTCAAAACTACAAACTGCCAGTTGTAAGATAAATAAGTATGAGGGATATAATGTACAATATAATAAATATAATTAACACTGCTCTATATTATAGTCTAGTAAATCCTAAGAATTCTTATCGCAAAGGAACATTTTTTTAAAATCTTCTCTTATTTTGTATCTACATGAGAGGACGGATATTCACTAAACTTACTGTGGTAATCATTTCATGATGTATATAATAAGTCACATCATTATGGTGTACACCTTAAACTTATACAGTGCTCTGTATCAATTATACTTCAATAAAAGGAATTGGAAAAAAAAGGAAATTACAGAAAAGCAAAAACAAATGAAGACTGGCTTGGAAATTCCCTGAGCAGGCAAAATCAGTTTAATTATGCAAGCAAAGCTTAATTTAGCTTATTTTGCAAGACCAGGGAGAGTAACTTGACCTGGGTCACTTCTGGCTTATGCCTCTGGAAGTCATAAACAAAACTTAAACTGTTCTCCAAAATTGATATGAGGTAACCACTAACCAATTGCCTGTCTTTTAAGAAAATTCTAATGTAGCCAATCACTGTTAAGAATAGTCACTGACTCCTCACTAATATAAGCTGCTTATTTGCGTATCCATGGGTTTTGTATTCTTGGACTAAACTAACCAAAGATCAAAATATTTGGGGAAAAAAATTCTGGAAAATTCCATAAAGCAAAACTTGAATTTGCCACAAACCAGCAGCTATTTACATGGATGGCATTTACATTTTATTTACTACTATTTACAAATCATTTACATTGTTTTAGATACTATAAGTAATCTAGAGATGGTGTAAAGTATACAGAAGAATGGGGGTAGGTTAGATGCAAATACTACACCATTTTATATAAGGGACTTGAGCATTCAAGGATTTTGGTCCTTGAGGGAGGCCAGGAACCAATCCCCCTCGGATATGGAGGAATGATTGTATACCCCTGAGACTTCCTCCATGTTTTCATTTGAGAGCTTCTGGTGTGTAAACTGTCTTTTTGGTGTGTGCACAATAAACTTTTACTAATTACTACTTTGGTAATTCATTGGTTTTACTTCTGCTGTTTCTGAACTTTTGACAAAGTGTATACAAGGAAAATTAAGTTTCCTTTCCGGCCCTACCCTCAATGCCCCATTACTTTTCTCACAAGCAAGCATGGTTACAGCTTCTTGTCTGCCTTTCCTAGATAATCTAAACATGTATACACATATCTATATGTGCATAAATATATTTCCTCCATTTCTCCTTACCCAAATATTACATATTTTACACAGTGCTCTGCACCTGAGTCCTTTTCAATTAATGTATCTTGAAGTCTTTGAACAGGTCCAAAAGCAGAATGCTATGCAAGATGAAGAATGATTAAAAACTGTCCTACTACGGCTGGGGTCTAAAGCACTTCCAGTTTTTAGCCAATGTAGGCAGATGGCCCAACCATGGGAATTACAGATGCTTTTCCAGTCCTTGCCACACATTGGCTGTTTCTTTCCAAACAAAGGGGAAAGTTTGTTCAGTATTCTTACTGAAGTTCGGCAGAATGGTGATGGCTGAGATTCCTGACTCAGCTGGATGGACCCTGTTTCCCCAGCAGTGTGTGTAGCTCTCACCTGAGTCCCTAAGCCTGGGTCAAATTACTGGCCTGTGCAGAGGCCTCTTTGAAAGCCAAGGATGCTTTTGGATCAATGGGAAATCCCCGGGGGGCCTCCCCAAATAGGAAGTAGTTGTGCAGACTACTTGTTTCAGGCCCAAAGTGCAGATGACCCAGCCTTTTTTTTTTTTCTTCTTTCTTCTTCCCCCACTTTTTTTTTTTTTAAATTTCTTAGGCAAGTCTCTGATTCTATCCTGAAATTCTTCAGAAGGCTCATCATACTTTCCTCAGACCTGGGATGACAGCAGCCTGGGCTCTGCATGACAGCAGAGAAGGGAGTACGGTGATAAGAACACCTTAGGGAAATGCTGACTAAGCTCAGGGGCAATGCTTACTGAAATTTACCTCACAACCTCCGTGGAAAGCCATGGTCTTGCTCTTGTAAACAAGGCCTATTTCCCTGCCCCTGGATTTCCCTTTTGTGTCCCATTGAAGATCAGACTGGAAGATCCTGGCCAGTCTGGGTGGGGCGGGCCTATCACCCTATTTCTTTGTGCTTTACGTAAAACCCTGAATTACTCTGACCAACTGGAATAAACTCTTTTCAAGGTCACAGAGTTCTGAGGAATTTGCCCATGCCCTTCCTCCCCACTGCCTAGGTTACTGGCATCTACAGAAAGGAGCTAGTGGATGGGTAACCTAGGAGTGCTAGAGTAGTTGGTCTGGGACAAGGTCAGGGTGAGGGAGAGGAATCAACCACTTTGGGCTCAAGATAGAGAAGAGGGGGAAGGTGTAGCTTAGTGGTAGGGTACATGCCTAGCATGTTCCAGGTCCTGGGTTCAATCCCCAGTACCTTCACCAAGTAAATAAATAAACCTAATTACCTTCCCTCCCCCTCTAAAAAAGAAGTAAGTCCTGCCTTAATTTAAAAAAAAAAAAAAGAGAGAGAAAGAGAAGAAAACAGGGCCATCATGGGAGCTATAGTTATTCCTTCCCTGTTGCTATTTGGCTGTATTTTCTCTCTTGCATACCATCAATGGGCTCCATGTTGTGCTGGTTATTTGCATTTTTGCCCTTAGATTCATTCTCTGCCCTATTCTGCATTGCAGGGAAATGCATTTCCCAGACTCCCATCTCATGCAGTGAAAATGAAATTCTTTACAATGTCCCACAAGGCACTTTACCTCCTCCTAGCTCATTCTGATCCAGGTACACTGCTCTTCTTGCCATTTCTGGACTATAACAGCTAGCTCCTGTTGCAGGACCTTTGCACTTGCTGCCCCACAGCCTGGAAGCTTGTTCTCCAGATATCTACATGGCTAGTTCTCTCACTTCTTTCAGGTTTTAACTCAGTTATTTTCTCAGGGGCTCTTCCTTGGCCACACTATCTCAAATTTCACACACACATCCCAGACATTTAATATCCTGCTGCCCTCTTTATGTCTCTTTAGTACTTATTATCATCAAACTTACTATATATTTTATCTTGTTACCATCTGTCTCACCCACTGGAATGTAAACTCCATGCAGGCAGGGATTTGTTTTTGCTTCTATTTGTCACTAATGAATCCCTAGATGTTAGAACAGTACCTGGCACTTAGTAGGTACTCTGTAAATATTTGTTTAATAAAGAAATGTATGATGGCATTGTTTGTCATAGCTCATAGTGGGTGACAACCTAGTATTCATCATGGAGGAAAGAAAAGTAAAATGAGTGGTGCCCACTATGAAGTTATTTACAGCAGTTAGAAACTAAGGACTAAATGTGCACATAGTGACATGGTTAGACCATAAAGTCACAGTGCTGAGTGAAAAACTTACATGAAGAATTAGGAAACAATTACACAAAAAACAGCTACACAGTCTACAAGGATACATACAAATTCAAAATATACATCAAACATATTAGAGAGGGGGTGGAAGTATGGAATAAGGATAAAAGAAAATAATAAACTAAGACAAAAATAAATAAAGCAAGAGAAGAGTCTTGCACCCATCCATGTGGATAAAGGACAATGAATTGAGATTAATACTATACCTGAGGGCCACCACAAAATTATTCAGTGTGAATATTTTAGTTTCATACTTTTAGTTTCAAATTTTAATAAGAAACTTAAAAATATGTATTTATGTGAGTATCCAGAACAGACTTCAAACGTGTTTTTTTTTTCTGAGAAATACTAAAACAATTTTTAACAGCTGTATTAAGGCATAATTGACATACAGTAAATTGTATATATTTAAAATGTATAGTTTACTAAGTTTTGACACATGTATACATCTGTGAAATCATCCTCAAATGGAAAAGCCAACTTGCCCATTAGGCACACATAAAAAAATGTTTTATTTTCAATTCAAAATGCTTTAATGTTTAAAAAAATTTTTTTAAATTCAAAATAAAATAATAAAATTTTACATGTTTTATATAATATTAATACATTCATCTTTATACCAGTGCAGCTGTAAAATATTCTATTAACAAATTATATATTTAAATTATACAGTATGTAATCATATATTCTATATATTCAATTATATATTATATTTAATATAAACAAACTATATTAATAAATAAAAAATTTTTAATTTAAAAAATTTTAGTATTTAACAGTTATTTTTTATGAAGGGTCACATTAAAGGTCAAAGTGTCTAGGGCCAATGAAAGTCATAATGCAGCCCTGCCACTGTTAAGATAGTGAACATATCCATTGTCCTCCCAATTTTCCCTTTCTAATCCTTATTGCCTGCCATTCTC